TTTTTTTTTCTCCTTGACTAATAGAAATGTTAACTTGCACATTTCAATTCTATTTAAACGCTATTAGATTATCTTCTAGACTTATCCTCTTAACTAATATATAAAGAACGAGTTGAACCCTAATTCTAACTACATCAACTAAGAAGAGGCTAACAAAGTTTGAGAGAGGATTAAGCAACAACAGGTATGCTATACATATTCCGTCAAGTTTTTAAGATTGCAGCTAACCATTTAACAACTTAACAATAAAATAAGTCATGCATTTATAGAAAAAATGATTTTAGGTCACCTAAATGACAAATCTTCCCTGTAGTCGACCTCTCCTTATGATTCTTTTTTTTTCTAAAACCAACATTGCTTTCTCCGGCGTCGACTTCTGCTCCCAAATAAGGATCCTTTTGTTCATCCCTTTTCTTTTAACTCTATGATTTTGAATTCAGAGAATTCGATAGTGATCAATTTATGGGTTTAGAGTATTTTCTAGATTTAGGTTCAAGGGATTATAGAGGGCGGATCTTAAAATGGGATTTGGGGGATTTAATTTAAAGTGGTGACCGATGGGACTGGCCGACTGGGTGAGGATTGCACAAATTCTGGAAAAGAGCAACCAGCCAAGAATGCATTGGAAAAGGCGGTGGGTTAAATTTTCAGATGGTTTTTTGGTTGATTTTAAGAGGGGAATTAGTTAGGGCTGGGTGAGAAGGATTAGGGGGAGAAGGGAAAGGCAATGTTTTATTTTCAAAAGGGAAGGGGAACCAGTTGGGGTTGGAGAAGGAATACCGAAAAAAAAAAAAAATAAGGGTATCCGATTACATTTTCCTCCAAATTAATTTCCATAAGCTACCAAAGGGTATTCTGCCATTTTACAGTACTGTAGATGAATAGTATATTACATATTTTTTATATTTTTAAATTAATATTTATATTAGCATCTAATTATGAAGAAGAGTAGTATTGATTTTTTTATATTTTTTAATATAATATTTTTTTAATGTTATTTTTTTCGAATCGCTATATGGAACAAAAATTAATTAAAACACCTGAAGAACATGTGACAAAACGTGCTGATGATTTGAAGAAGAGGATTT